AAGTACTCATCTTAGGCTGTAGCGCTAGTGGATTTTCATTTATACTGTCTGGCATTGTGGTTTTGTTTGAATTACTTACATACCATAACTCAAAATACAACTAAGAAGTAGGCCTATTAGGCAACCCATTACTTCTTTTTCTCTTATTTTTTTTTATCAGTGTGTGAGAAGAATAAACCACCACACCCCATTCTAAATCCGTGCCTGTTATATATTTGGTAGAAAGAGGGGGGTGGGTGAATGTGTGTTGAATAATTGCTGCGAGAAGCAGCCAATTCATATTCTTGACAGCAATTTGACCTCTGAAAGGTCATTGCTTGTCAAAAAACAAGGGCTTAAGACGACTGAAAAGCGGAGTGTCTTTCTTTCGTTCTGCCGGGTAAAATCAATTACTTTAGGAGACGTTTGTAGACTAACCAACACGTACCAACATCCGCATGTCGCGCTAGCCTTATCCTATTCTAGGCCTACACTAGCTAGGATGGTATAGGCCTAGACTCGAAGGGACGAAGGTCCCAATGAAAAACAACGTCGCTCCTTGATAGCTAACATTGCCTATTTAACATCACAATAATTCATTATTAGACCTACATTTTTTTTGAATTGTACTCCACAAATCTTAGCCGATACCTCGCACAACTCGAGTAACGTCTCGTACTGTATCTATTGTCGTGACGTCATGGCTCGCTGGATCACACTTGCGATGTCTCGCACTTGTGATCAAATAACACGCTGGCTCGCACTTTGGCAACACTCTTTGGCAGTCAACTCGCCCCTAGAAAACCCGCCCTTGGAAACTTGCCCCATAAAAAAAATGTACACTTCCTAGACCATGCAGTCTTCAAAATAAAAATAGTAACCTTTGGTAATCAACTATATTTTCCACATACATAGACATTTTTGAAACTTTATTAAAAAAAAACCTAAACCAAAATTCACCACGTTATAGACACTTTTTGACAAAAATAAAAAATTACGACTTTATAGTTACCCAATGAGAAATGTTCTAATATAGACAATGGGTCGTGTCTCATATTATTTGTTGTATTTTTATTATTCATTATTTTTACTTGACTCGCATAAATAATTTTGTTCGAAGAACATTTATATGCTGTTGTACTTCTCAGCACTTCACTTGCAATTTGCAATTTCTAGTATACTGTATACAACGATATTCCCTGCTGTGGATCGTGATTCTTTCCATATTTTCAGCAGCTTTAATTAATGGATGTCGACTTACTAAAATGTCAAATAATTAGGCTTCCTTGTAAGGTGTACATCACCTGAAACTAAAAAGTAAGCACAATCTTTCTTTTACTTCTTATACTTAGTATACTAACCAAACCGAGCCTCTGCTATCAAATGAATTCTTTCGCATACAGCTGCTGCAGCCTTATATACGGCGATGTATGCAAAATAGGCTCAAGATTGGACTTAACCTTAACCTTCACCTTCATTGTATAGTGTAGCACTGAGTAGCAGGTGAGGCGGAACGATTTAAGCTAAGCCAAAATTGGCCGGGACCAATATTATCCAAGGAGGACTGATTTTGGCCGGCCAAAATTGGTCCCCCGGATAAATTTTAGCGGCTAAAATCGGACTGATTTTAGGCCGGACCAATTTTAGCGTAACAGCCCCATCCATTCCCATGTGATTTCTGATTTCGTTAATTTGTTGAAATTTATTTAATTTGTTGAAATTTATTTACTCAACTTATTTTTACGTGGTTTAAAAACAATAACAAAAGTATATTAGATTATGGCCTTGTAACCAATAACCTGTATTCAAAAATTAATGAACTCTTTATAGACGAAGAATGTTGGTACCACTTAGTAGTAGGTAGTGACCACAACGTAGTCATTATTGACGTAAATCATGAATACAACAATCTTGGTAATACGCATAAAAATGTTAATAATAAGACTTTTTGGAACATAAAACAAGATCAAACTTGGAGACCATTTCAGGAAGATATCAACAACAAATTTGAAAACTGGGATCCTTCAAATTTAAATGCTAACGAAGTATGGAATCAATGGAAAAACCATGTATTATCCACAGCTGAAAATTGTTTTGGATACAAAAAGACAAAGAAAACCCATAAACCATGGTTCGACAAAGAATTTGAAACATTAATTAAAAAAAGAAGAGTGGCGTGTCAATCACATCTTCATTATTCTAAAAATAAAGATTCTCCTGAATTTGACCAAGAAAGGTGCAATTTATTATGGGATGATTACCAACGTAGTCGTAAAGAATGTAAATTAATGATCAATAAGAAAATAATGCAAAGTCGTGTTAACAAATGTGCAAAACTTGCAAAAAAGGAGGGGTCCAGTGCAGTGATTTTTGGACCATGTTAAAGGGTAATAAGAAAACCAATAATATAAATTCTGTTATTATTTCTAATACCCAAACAATAACATCAGATAAAGAAACAATTAAATCATCACTAACTGAGTATTTCAAGACCCTTGGTAATAAAAATATAATCCCTGAGGATAGCACATCTGTAAACTCACTTTTAGAAAATGATTTTAATTCATGTGATAGTGACGACCAAAATAATACTTTAAATGAGCTTGACTTAACTTATGAGGTAGTTGCTGCAGCTATTGCACATTGCAAAAATAATAAAAGCCCTGGTTTAGATACCATAACAAATGAAATGTTAAAGAACGGAGGAAATGGCATGATTAGATCACTATATATTTTATTTAAAAGGTTGAGTGAACTCAAGACAATTCCAAACGACTGGAATGTGGGTGTCATATTTCCAATATTTAAGAAGGGTGATCCCAAAGACCTTAGCAACTACAGAGGCATTACACTCAACTCTTGTGTCGCTAAGGTTACAACCGCATTATCTCCCAAACAGTGTCACTTAGAAGAGTTTAATGTCTTAAGTGAAGTGCAAGGTGGTTTTAGAGAGGATAGAAGGTGTGAAGATCATATCTTCACACTTAAAAGCATCATTAGCACACGACAATCAGAAGGCAAAAAAACATTTCTTGCATTTTCAGATTTTTTAAAAGCATTTGACACTGTTTGGAGAGAAGGGTTATTCTCAGCTGTTAGTAATATTGGTGTTAAAGGAAATTTACTCCAAATTATTAAGAATTTATATGAAAATGTACAAGGTAAAGTTATTTTTCAAGATATAGAAACTGATTTCTTCAATATCGATGAAGGAGTCAAACAGGGCTGTTCACTGTCACCTATTTTGTTTTCAATTTTCATCAATGAATTACAAAAAATGATAACAAAAAGTAACCTTGGAGTTAATATATTTAATGTTAAAATTGGAGCCTTATTTTGGGCTGATGATGTAGTGTTAGTCGGTGAAGATGAAAGAGATCTAAATCT